TTTGATATCTGAAGCCTTATGCACCTTAAGTCTATAGGTATTAGGTTCTACTCTTTTCAGAACCTTTGATTCTGGATTTTTGGGTTCAAAATTTGTCAGAACCATTGACTTTTGAATTTTAGGTTCTGATCTCGTCACTACCTTTGATTTTGACATATTAGGTATTATTTTGTTTAGAACCTTTGATTCAATAATCTTGGATTGTGATTTGTTTAGACTCTTACCTTTATCAAAGCCAGACACAAAACAAGTTTTCAGCACTGTCTGAGCACTTCCTGAAGATGAAGTATCCGAGTTCCTCAAGAGTTAAGCTTTAGAGATAACCCATTTCTCATTATTGCTCATACCTTTTTCTTCACTCTTGCTTCCCCGTATATCATGGAGGCAAGCTCTTTTCTCTCAAGACCTATCATAGTACAATCTTTATGAGCAACTTCCTGCTTACTCAAAGTTTTATAAGAAATTTTCTTAACTTAATTAATATGATCATTCTACAAGGACTCAACTTTGTTTTGAGAAATTTTAAGCTCTTCCTTAAAAATATCACATTACTTTTTCAAGGTTTTCATATGTCTTTATTTATCTGACAACGACACATGAATTCTTGAACAAAATAAATTCAATCAGAATGACATAAGTTAAAAAATACCTTGTCTTTTCCATCATAGTCTGAACCAGAGGATGATTCATATTCTATTTATAAGGGCGTGAGAGACATTGGGGAAAGATTTTCCTCTCTCTCATCTCTGTCTGAGTCACTTCCATTATCAAGTTCATTCTCTGTTGCCATGAGACTCTTCTTGAATTTGTTTATGAAACTTTCTTTTTAAAAGCTTCCCTTCTTCGACCTTTCTTTTTGCAGACCAGGACACCCAGCCTTGAAGTGACCAGACTTCTTATAGTTGAAACAACTCTTCTGATCATCTGTATTATCTTTAGAACTAGACCCTCTGAAGCTATTACTTTTACCAGAGAATTTTATGTTCCTTCTCTCTAGTTGGTGAAACCTTTTGATTATAAAGTCTATTTCTTCCTCGTCAGAATCAACATCAGAAACTTCTTCACGTGAAGCTTCTACAATTTTCCTGATCTTGAAGGATCTGACGACTTTACCACCAGATCTTCCAACAACAGACTTTAATGCCATTGTTTTGGATTTCACCATTGGCTCATCCCCATTTGGTTCCATTTCATGGCTTTGAAAGTTGCTAATAAGACTTTCAAGTCTCATAGTATTCTGGTCTTTAGCCTTCTAAATAGTTGTGACCTTAGGTGTGTACTTAGCTGAAAGACTCCATAAGATCTTCTTTATACGGTTAACAATAATGTAACTTTTGCTCAGGATCTGAAGTCTTGATACAAGAGTTTGAAACCTAGAGAACATGGTTTTAATGTCCTCATCATCCTTTATCCTGAAAAACTCATAGTGTTAAACAATAAGATTTGCCTTAACTTCTTTCACCTATTGATTCCCTTCATAAATGGAAGTCAATGATTCAAAGATACTCTTAGCAGTAGACTTATCAATGATTTAACATATTCAGAGTGAGGTAGATCCTCGATCATAATACCCCAAACATTATGGCGTTTTATGTAAAGTTTCTTTTGGGTTGGTGTATGAGTTTTTCTATATTTCTCCATCCCAACACCACCAACATCCATGTCAATGTCGTCCTCAAGTATGTCCCACAACTCATCATCAAAGCCAATGATGTAATTATACATTTTTCTCTTTCACCATTCAAACTAAGTGGAATCACCATTAAATGAAGATGATTTAGCAGAATAATGACTTTTCTCATTAGCATTATAGTCATAGGAAATAATATCACCTATCATGGTATAAAAATTATATTTCTTAGGATTGATTCACTGTACCATGGTTAAACGTTTAACATAGACCATGCTATGATACATACTGAAGGTGAAAAAAATACAGAAGAAGAGGGGAGTTGAATTGTGTATTCCAAAATTTCGTTTCACTCCTAAAACTAAAACTTCAGATTCTAAGTCTTGTTTAGAGTCTGATATCTGAATGTGTAATAGAAGTGAAAATGAAATGTTCATAAGTAAATGCAAGCAAAACACAAATATTATTTTGGTTCCTCTCTTCAACTGAGAGTAGTTCAGTCCCCTTGCTTCAACAAGAGTTTTTCACTATAATTAATCAGATTGCAATTTCTCAAGCCATCTGCTCAAGACTTTCTACTCAATTAACCTAGAACGAAACTTCCTTGCTTAAACATTTGGTTCAATACTTCATGCTCACCCCAAATAGAATGAGACTTCCTTTCTTAAATCCTCGATTCAAGACTTCATTCTCAATCAACCTAGAATGAGACTTCCTGCTTAAACCCTTGATTCAAGACTTCCTTTGCTCAAGTATACAAACAAGAGACTTCCTCTACTTTAAACAAAAAGTTTAGTAGAAAAGATAACTACTATACTTTGGTGCATAATCAGAAGTATAACAGTTGTGCAACAATCACAAAGGTTTTCAACCTTTCTAAGATTTCTAAGATAATCTAAGATAAGAAATCTTAAGATCTTATGGTATAATAGTTATAATAACAACTCAGTGTTATACCAAGATCTTTCATAGTGTTGTGATGTTGTAACCTTCCTTTAAGTCTTCAGCGTTTCTTATAGAGTTAGATAAAGTCGTCGGAGGTTTGAACAACAACAAACTTAGTGAACAAGGACACCAAGAGAGACGTTGGAGAGCTGTATCAAATCAGAAGTATTTTCCACTGAATAAAAGTAATGTCCATGTCGCCTTTTGAATAACTAGGTGTCTACCAAAAGGTAGCACAAACTTAAGAGGTCACATCACCATCCTTGATCATTGCAAAACTAAATCCTAGTTGACTCTGTCCATAAATTTGTCGCCTTGACAAGACTAGTCAACTTTGGTGCATAGGAAGGATCAGACGCTCCTTAAGTCTACAGGGCTCGAGCTGTCACCAGTGGCTGAAACAACATACTAGAGTCTGAACTTACAGATGTTTATGAACATATTCAGATTCTCATCATCTAGAATATGAGTAGTATTTCTTATTCACTTATACTTTAAGTGGGGATTAATTCATGATGATTTCTTAGCTTATGATCTTGCACATTTGAACATATGTTAGTATACCCATTTGTTCTCTAAATGCTTTGTTATCATCAGAACCCAAGGAATATGAAAAATCTTGTTATAACACAAACACACACACACACACACACACACACACACACACACACACACACACACACACACACACACACACACACGCGCGCGCGCGCGCACACACACACACACACACACACGCGCGCGCACACACACACACACACACACACACATGTATGTCAAGATATATCTATAATGAAATTAACCCTTATACACCACGTATGCCTCAACTTGCGTCTAGCTCTGCGGTCCAATACCATCTTGCTTTTAGCCCCTAGGTTGAGTTTAACATTATTGTATATATATAACGTCCTACTAGATCCTCGCATACAATGTCCGAAATATTGGATCTTTGATCCTTCAGTACAAGGTACACCTTGCATCTCGTGGTCAAACATGTATAAGGTTATATCCAGCGTCATACATAACCATCAAGATCAATATGACATTTTAGGAAACAAACTTATGACATTTCAAAGAATAAAGTTGAGACATAAATCAATCAATTATTCAATGATCAATCATAGAATGAATCATGATGTATATCCCTTAACCATTTGTCTTTTTCAAACATATACTGAAGTCGAGACATAGTTCTCATGATCATTAGTATTCATAACCAATACTAGAGTCAAGGGGTAGGTCCCCCGACCATTAGCGTTCATAACATATACTCAAGTCAAGGTATAAGTACTATAATAATCAACGCTCATAACATATAATAGAATAAGAGCAAGGACGCATGTCCTTTGACTATTCGATATCATCTCACAACATAGGACGAAATCAAAGATTAGATCTCTTGAACCATTCGAATTCGTCATGTATAACAACATACTTTTTATCTCAACATGGATAATTACAACACTTGATACTTATTTCTACCAAAGAAAAAAATCATATTTTTATTCATTAATCATCTACATTTTGTCCCCTTGTGATCCCAAGCAAATCCCATAAATCTCTCCCCATAAAAAAAACCAAAAATAACTATGGTCCAACCGTAGCTACTAGTGCGATCCATAGTAAAATCCAAAATACACCTCTTTAAAATACTCAAGAATTTGCCACGGCCTGTTGGTAGCTAGTGCTACGGGCCGCGGGTAAACCCAACATTCACACCCTTATCATTTTTCTGCATTTTACTAAACCAAAATAGCCCCAATCATATTTTTAACATTCTAAGACTCCATTAAAATAATTTTTGCAACACATACAAGCTTTAAAGATATTATAAGTTTAACAAGCAAACATATCATATTCAAAAATCAACAATCAAACACACTATTCTCTCCCCAACATTCACATGCATACCCATATAAATTTATCTACCTAAGGTCCATCTCAAGAACCTCCCCTTAGCTCTTGGTTATTGTTTCAAGAGTAATTTTGGTGAATGAGAATGATAATTCTTCTTCCTTCTCCCAACCTAGATAAATGATCATTCATTATTTGATTTTGCATGCAATAATTAACTTTTTCATGCAAGATGAACATTTCAACATGAGCTTGTGGGGATGCCAGGACCAACTTGGAGTGCCAGATAGAATCATATTCCAATTAACTTGGGCCATATGATTGAGGCCCAAAGTCCTCGGACCAATGTTTTACATACTGTCTATGAAAAAAAAAACAGAATCAAACACAAAAAAAAAAAACAATGAAGAGGTGAGGTGCAGTGTCTAACACGTGTGCCTTGTCTTGTTTGCTGAATTTCTCAGTAAACTGTAAATTTACAGACACAAATGGAAGAAACAATGCAAAGGGTTTAGCAAATTAATTACTGAGTGAGTTGAGAATAAGAAAAAGAAGAAGAAGAAGAAGCACAATGGGTTTTGGTGGTTCCTCCTTTTCCTTCTCATCTTCATCTTCAAGCTTTTCTTTGCAACACACAGTTCTACCGTTAAAGAGAAAAAATTGCTGCTTACAAACCTGCTTTTCAGTATCTTATAACAAGTTTGTTGATTTTGCTTTGGATGAAACCAATCTCCATACACCCTTGCTCCCTTCTCCTTTACAGGTTTCCATTGTATCACTCTTTTCTCTCTTCTGTTATGTTCATGTGTTACTTTATTGCAAATTGATTAGGGTTAGTTAGTTTCATTCTGATTTACAATTTTAGAAACTATTTAGTATTGTAATGAGTAATGGCTTGTTTGTGACATTCAAATCTAAGCAAATGTGAACTTTTTGCAGTTAATTGTTTTTATAGGTTCTGTTTGGTTAATGTTTATTGTCTAGTGTGATTGCAGGAGATTCTCAGTTAAAATAAGTTGATGCTTTTTCAGTTATGAAAATATTTGACTTCAATAAGAGATTTTTTAACAAAATTTTGATAGTACTATTTAGGCCTGTTTGTTGTAGCTTTTAAAAAAAGTGATTTTTTTTTTTTTTTGTGTATTGTTGGATGTAGAAAATTTGTTATAATTATTTGATATTTAGTGTCCTAGTGATTAAATGCTCTTGTGTTTCACTCTTCAAGCTTCTGCTTTTGAGAATACAATCATGTTTGGGAACATGGCTAGTTGTTTCCACTTTTGGAAGAGGTAAAAGTGATTCTTGATGTGGAGAATTGATTTTGGCAATGTTTGATTTCTCTGAAGTAGAATTGGTTTTGCCTTCAGAATCGATTCTACTTGAAGATAGAATTTCTAGCATTTGAGTCTAAACGTCGTTTTAACAATGAAATTAATTATTCAACTTACTTTTACATGAATGTATCCAATCTTAAATAACTTTACCTTCAATTCACTTTTAGCCATAACTTTTAGCTTTTTGTGTTTTTCTTGTTAAGTTGCTTAATATGCAATTTTAATTTATATATATTTTTTGCATAGTATTACTTCAAATTTAGTTTAATTGAGTCATTTTATTGTTTTGCAGTTTCTTCGTTGCATATTTTTTTTGGCTCGAGGCACATCCTTATCCTCGGCTTCAATTTACATTTTCTTATGTTTTCTTGTTAGGAAAAGTATAATTCGATGAATTCTACGGATGGTAAAGGAGAGCTTAATATGCTGTCATTTGAAGCTGCCAAGATTAGGCTTCTGCGAAGTTTAATGATCGAGACAGAAAAAATGCAGGTTTCTTTTTAAATCTCCTTATTGATTATCAAATTGATATACATGATTGGGTTCTCGTACTATTAACAAACCAAGCTTTTGTAGCAGCTGCTAATTTTTCATGGTCTTGCATAACTTACGCAGGTTTTGGACTTTGCTGTCTTTCCAAAAGCTGAGTATGATGTCCCCATATTTTGTGCCAACTTTTTCACGTCCGCTAAAACAAATATCGTTGTATTGTAAGTTAGCATCTTCTTCGTTAGTTATGGCAATCCGTTCATACAAATGGTATTTCTCTTGATTATTAGAAAATATCTTCTAATAGCTTTAAAGTATCTTAGTATATCTCGGAGTCAGAGTCATCTCAAGTTTTGGGAGACACTGTGTAGATTAGTCGCCATTTAATCATGACAAAATAAATAGAAGTCCTATTAAGATTTAACTGTGACAAACATTTTAGGAGACTCTCTTTAGCTACTGTTTAACTGTGACAAATTTTGGGCCATGTGCAGTAGCCCGCCTATTAAGACGGCCTTGCTCGGAGTATATCTTAGTTCAAACATTAAAAACAATGTACTATATGTAATATAGAGCACTAAACATGTGTTAATGTGTCCAGGGACCTTAACCCCTTGCATGATATCATCAATCAGGAAGATTACAAGGAAAAGTACTTCAAAAGCTTAATTCCTCTTGGCCTAAAATATGCTGAGGTAACTGAATATTTTCATTAGTTCTTTAGCGGTCTCATGCATACACCGTCGTAGAGACGCGTGTTTTTATATTAACTAAAGCAGTTCTCTCTCAAAGGACTTAGTGTGTTTGACTTAACATAGACTTCATGCAGCATTTTCCATGGGGAGGGAAGCTCACAAGTGAGTCTATTAAATTTTTTTCACCGATTGTCATTTGGACAAGGTTTACTTCAAGCCCGCAAAAATACGATATTCTGTACTCGGCTTTCAGAGATTATTACAAGGTATCAATTCCTTCGACCATGGAAATTCATAGTTTTCTAATATGTTTAGTAAGCTCTAAAATAATTGACCGATAGCTTCTCAGGTATGGTTGGAATTGATAGACACAGCAGTAGAAGAGACAGATGAATATCAAATTTCTCGCAATCTTGAAGCACAACATAGATATTTGACATGGAGAACCGAAAAGGTAGTTTGGATTCATATCTTAAACTTTTGTCTATTTGGAAGTCATATGATTGGTGATTGATCTTGTCATGGGAAACATGCATGTTTGTCTGTTTTTTAATTTTGAATTGTTTTTGAAAATGTCTTGTTCGCGGAAATATTTTGAAAGTAGGATCCGGGACACGGTGTTTTGAAGAGGCTGATTGGGGATACACTTGCAAAGGTAGACGGAGTTGAGGTCAGTTTTGTTTCTGTACAATCTAGTACTAGAGATCCTCACTTTTTGTTTTGTACTATAGGATTTATTAAGAAGCTTTCTCTTTAACGGAGTCGACGAGCTAGGAAACAAAACATTTAACGACTATTTTTCACTCTACAACAGCGAGGAAGGAACGTTAACTAAGAAAGGCGGTGTTGTTGGGAAGTCTTTCGAAAATCGTCCATGGGATGCAAGAGGAAATTTTCTTGGTAAGTAGTTATTTTAACTAATCAAAACAGAATAACTACCAAGTCCAATCAGCAAGTGACACCTGTCATTTCCGTAACTAACCGAAAAAATCAGAAAAAAGTAACATTACAAGCGATATTTGGAGTTTTAATGTGGCTAACATATAATCCTTGGAATATTTTAGGTCAATGAATGCTTGGAGCTTTGCACTCGAACTGGTTAAATTTCTTTGACTTGTTCTGCAAGCAAAGTTGGGTTTTCCCAGCCAATTTTGTCCAAAATGAATGCTTGGTTGAATCAATTGATGAATTGATCATACATTCATACCAATTACCAACATGGTTGAATTCAATAATCTGTTAAGGTTCTATTGATCATTTTGTAATTGAATATTTATCGAAATGTTTCTGACCATCGTATCTGATTTGAGTTATATTGCATTTGCTGGGCCTTCTAGATTTTATCCTGGCATAATTCAAAATGGCATCCGTGTATTTTCATAATGGTAAAAATATTCTTATTAAAATTTAATCAAAAAAGAGGAAAGAAAAATTTGATAGTGCAATTGAAAATTTTAAAATTTATAAAAAAATTTACTAGTGCAATTGAAGAAATCTGGTATGCATTTTTATAGATTTTAAGAAAAATGAATTTAATAATTTCAAATTTTTTTATAAATTTGATATGTTTTGTAATTGTCTATTTTCTTTAATAATTAAATAGTTCGTTAATACTATCAGATTTTTTGAAAAATCTAGGTTAATACTTAATTTTTTTAAAAATTCGATAAAAATTTATAGATTTTTAAACAATCCGATAATGTATTTGAAAAATCGGATAAAATTCTTAGAGTCTTGAAAAATTCAATAGCATATTTAAAAAATCTTGTAGTTTTAATTTGGTAAATTTTAAATTTTTTTGCAAAAACTCATCCCTAAAATAGTTGATATAAATTCATAAAATTGTTCAAATCTCTTATAAAAACGCATAAAATAATATTTATAAACACAAAAAATTGCAAAATATATTATGATAAAAGTAATTGTGAAGGTGCAAGGACAAACACTTAGGGTGGCAAGATAAAATCTCAAAATAATGACATCTAGGTTTTTATTTTTCTTTGGGCTATAAGTTGGGATCCATTTCATGACAAGGAGTAAAATTCATTGTAATGAGAAGCACAATAACTTTTTGAGTATTTTTTTTAACGTATTTCATATATTTTTTAGACACTTTCTGAAATTCTAAAAATATTCTAATTTTTAGAAATATATCTTCAAATGCATTCAATACACGGATTTCATTCGTTTTTGAATTGAATCCTAATTATGTAAATAAATTTATTTTAAAAATATATCTCTAAAAATTTCGAGAAATATATTTTCTGAAGCAACAAATATGAAAAAATTAGTTATAACACCATAGTACTTAAACCATCTTCAACGGGATAATTTTGGAGGATGCTACTAGGGCTGGGCAGCGGGTAGGACCGATTCGGGCCCAGAATCTTAATCCGACAACTCATCGGATGAGTAATTTTAATCCAATTTCAACCGGGTTGGATTTCAGGTTTTTCGGATTCGGTTTTATTCGGGTTCAGGACTTCAGTTCGGTTTTCTCCGAATTTGACAGACTTGGGCCCAATAAAATAAATATAATTTTTTTTTAATTTTGACCAAGGATAACTCAATTATAAAAATGGCCAAAATATATTTTTAAGTCAGTTTTCTTTTTGTTTATTAAAAAATGGGCCAGATTTTGAGCCTTCCAAAAATTAACAATTTAAATTATCAGAACCTATATTAGAAATCATATTTCTCTTATAATTAAAACAAATTTAATAATATTAATACAACCAAATTGTTTAACTAAAATTAAAATTAATCCTTCCAAAGACCATATAAAATCTAAGTTTAAATTAATCCTTCCAGCATAATTTAATACATGTAGTAAAATAAACAAAGTCAAATAAATCTAATAACATAAACCAACACAGCCAAAGCACCATTGTGAAACCAGGACTTGAAAAACCTTCCATTTTCTATGTATTTTGCCATGTTTGAAATGACCACTTCCATTGTGAATGCTAGTAAAGAAGTGAAGAACCTTCAATAAAAATTACAAAATTATTTAGTTCCATGAATATCATTATCTATAGTAGAAAATTGAAAACAAAATTAAAAATACAATAATCAAATTCATAAATGAGACAAATCCATCTAAGAAATGATAGAACAATTTGTGATTTAGACCATTAAGAAGCAAACCTTTGTTGACTTGATGTCCCTTTGACAAGGCAAGAATAAAAACCAGGGTAAAAACCAGGGTCAAAATTATGACCGACCAGAACAATATAGTAGTCATCTAAAATAATATAAAAGCAAGATGAGTGAAACCTTGCCGTATAAAGAATAAGTACAATATTAATTCCAACTCTTGAGAATTTTTAAGACCCACCAATTCATCTATCTCTAACAGTTCATTCAAGAGTTTACCTTTGAGACATTGTGAAAATAACTACTCTAACAAGTCAATGTAATAGTTATGCACAATCATGTAAATATAGTAAATAGGGCAACACCAATTTTTGTATTGTCATTCAATTGGTATGTATATAAAACACATCTCCGTTATGTAATGGAGCACAGATTAACACATTTTCTTGCTAGTTTTCTTCTTTTTCAAATAAGAGAAAAGAAATTGTGTGATAGAAACCAAAGTGAATGCAATTGTAAAGAACAGAAAGTTGCCCCATTTTGGCAGAGCCATAAGAAGTGCAAATATTACCCGACCTAAACTTATTTTCTTTTTGACAAAATACCCGAGCTGAACTAGCAAGTTATTTCTCTATAAAAATATTCAAGATGGATAAGAATGATTTTTCCACATCATAGACATGTATGCCTAGAGACTACTAATATTTCATTTGCTCATTAATCTAGAAAAAGTGAATGATATTTTATTCACAGACAACAGGACCAAGTGTGCCAAAACCTAAAGAAATGATCGTACCAACGTAACAAGTCTACATACAATTATGAAATATAACACGCATCTAACTCCCTAACATTACAAACCTAAAAAAATTTCAAGGGAACACATCACAAGCATGCTACATATAAGTGAGATATGTGAACCTTGTTAAATCAAACTGTAAAAGCAGAAGTTTTTATTAGTGAATTACATGAATCCACGCAGTTCTGTTTCTACTTATTAATATCACATCAAGCAAAACAGGCATATCAAGTTAGGACCATCTCTGACAGTGATAACCAAGAAACGTTAAGCAAGCAACATAAAGGGAAAATACGTACTTGTAAAAGAAACACTTCTCTAGGCATTATTGTGTCTTCGAGTGAATGACCCATTCCTTCCAATTTAATAACTTCCAGAAACTACAATATGTAAGCAAGTTAACTTGCATCTTACTAAATTTGTGATTGTTTTTGTCTTTGGGGAAATGTTACCTCCTCATGCTCAATAGTGTGGGCTAGTGGAAGAATTACTTGCCCCCCATAATTTCCAACTCGAGATCCTGAGAAACTACAGGGACCAACTTTGATGGCAGCAGCTGAGTAAGCATCCATGTTGTTGTCTGCCCATTATGATCTATGTTCCCGCAAAAACCTCAGTAGAATGGTCGGGGGTACATTCTGAGCACCGAAATAACACATGACAATAACAAATATATAGTCAAAACTAAAAATTTGCAACATCTCTAGGCTATGCTTTTGTTAGGGAGGACAACAAGACTTGAAGAAGACAGAACAAAAGAATATATTTGTCATCACAGAATACCTATATCCTTACCTTCTTGTAATGCTCGTAAGAATAAAAGTTAACTGAAGAATAAGGTGATCGGTGAGCAATTGTAACTAGGTTCCCTTTCCAGAAAGCTCTAAACCCCTCTTCAGGAATTATTCTTAAAGCCTCGTTCTATATACTTGCTTTTCTCAAAGTTGCAACATTGGAATGCATCCCCTGAACCTGAAAAAACAAGATAAAGGAAAAACACATTTTCATAATTCTAGAAAATTCAACATTCTGAATAAATTATACACCCCACCACCTCTCTCATTCATTCGTTCATTCATTCATTCATTTTTATTGAGTGAATCATTCCCAAAAATTATAGGCATCAAGAAATTCAATTCTCAAAACTATTCAAATTTGAGACACCAAAACCAAATTGATTGACTCATACAATTTGAAGAACCAAGTTAGTTATTCACATCCAAAGAAGAAAATACAAAAATTCCACAAACAACATTTTCTCTCCCTCGTATCTCTCTCTCTCTCTCTCTCTCTCTCTCTCTCTCTCTCTCTCTCTCTCTCTCTCTCTCTCTCTCTCTCTCTCTCTCTCTTTCTCTCTCTAAGCGCTTTGTAGTTTTTTAAAATGTCATAATCGTTTCAATACTCTTCAAAATTGCTCACAAAAGCTCTTTGATGTCTCTTTCTCTCCCTCAAAGTCTATCATTAAATAATCTAAAAAAATTGAATAAATAAACGATCTATATGATAAAAGCAGCCAACGTATATTTTTATATTCTTACCAAAATTTGATGTGCGTGACTGTTTTGATAGTCTTTCAAAAAGTGTTTGGTTGTGTTATTCATGGCTTTAAAAAAATGAGTCTTTCATGACTCCAAAATATTCAAAAAATGGCTGAAAAAATCGCATAAAACATTATAATACACAATATACTCAACAAACACGGATTAATAAAATACAAGTGATTTCAACCTTGATTTGTTTTAGGCACAACCAAAAGGCTGTGACCGAGTCGGAGAGGATGACGGAGCTCCACTTCCGGCTGAAGTTTTAGTAAATCCTATAATACATTATAAAAAAAAAAAAGTAAAATATTATAAAACAAATTACTAAAAACACTTAAGAAATATTTAAACAATACCTTGTAAAACATCTTCAGAAATCTCATACTCCTCGTTGAATTCCAAGTCTTTGAATTGGTAAAAAGAAGGCCTCAACCAATTCTGAGCACAAATTAGAGCCTCTGCCATTTCTGGTTTGAGAGAGCTTCTATATACCTCTAAAACTCTCCCACCCGTGCTAAAAGCACTCTTAGAAGCCACAGTTGAAACTGGCGTAGGCATGATATCTCTAACTAATTGGGACAGAATTAGGTATTGATCGGCATTATGTTTCCACCAACAAAGAATGTCAAACTTTTT